CTCCTTTCCTTGTCTATGAACAAAACCCTCTGTACGAGGGTCAGGGCCCAGGAAAAAACATACACAAAGCAATCAACGAACAGATAGATTTCAATGTCCAGCCACCATTATACTTTGACATTGAAAGAGATCGCCCTCCCCCGCTATGGCCGCGTCCAACAGCATCCGTGGCTAGTGAAAACAAGACAGTATTTTGGATTCCTCAAAACCACATTGTAGACGAGAAGTTTCAGAAAACTAAAAACAACAGTACTATCCAAAGAACTAAATCTCCATCTTCGAAAACTTTACTTGAGAATTTTAAGCGTTGTGATCAAGAGATGAGAAGAAATGAATACGGGTTTGACCAAGCTCAAAGTAGAAGATACGACACGGGCAACAGAGATAATTCCATACCTTTGGGAAGAACTACCTCAATACCTCCTCCCTTGTGCTCACAGTGTCAGAATAAAGCACCAGTATTTGGAAAGCCTCCAAAACGGTTTTCTTACAAAGAGCTAGAGGAAGCTACTGATATGTTCTCAGATGTGAATTTTTTGGCTGAAGGTGGATTCGGTGTGGTCCACAAGGGAATCCTCAAAGATGGCCAGGTTGTTGCGGTGAAACAGTTAAAGTGTGGGGGTTCTCAAGCAGATCTTGACTTCTGCAGGGAAGTTCGGGTTTTGAGCTGTGCACAACACAGAAATGTTGTGCTGTTGATAGGGTTTTGTACAGAGAGCAATTTGAGGATATTAGTTTATGAGTACATATGCAACGGATCCTTAGACCTCTACTTATATGGTATTTACTAACTTTATTTCAAACACTTCTTTATTGTCGTTTCTTTCTGTCTCTGTAATTTGTTTTGAATGTTCCTACATCAATCAAAAGAGAGATCAAACAGTCTATCACTTGATTAACAGGAGATGAGAGTATGCCTCTCGATTGGAACTCACGCTTAAAGATTGCAATTGGAACTGCACGAGGCTTGCGCTACCTTCATGAAGACTGTAGAGTTGGTTGTATAGTGCACAGAGACTTTCGACCCAAAAATATCCTCTTAACCCATGACTTTGAACCTCTGGTAATGAACTCACCTTCCGCATTTTTTTTTGGCCAAAAGTACTTGACGTTCAAATATTTTTGCAATCTGGTAATTATAAACGACAATGCTTCACACGTCAAATAAATAAATAAATAAAACTGCATTTTAAATCTAATAATGCAACTTTGATATAGGTGGCGGATTTTGGGCTTGCTAGATGGTACTCAGAATGGAATATAGATACAGAAGATCGAGTTCTAGGAACTTCAGGGTAACGAATTTGCTTTATGCATGTATATTTTCTTACCATCAAGATAAGGGACATCACGGTTTTGATTCTAATCGATGGTACCTTACATAAACTAGGTATCTTGCACCGGAGTATCTTGACGCCGGAAATCTTACATATAAAATAGATGTATATGCATTTGGAATTGTATTAGTAGAGTTAATAACAGGTAGAAGAATTAGCGAGTTGGAACAGTTCAACGGATTCTCGTATCTTCCTGAATGGATTCACCCTCTACGCATGTTAGAGCCCAGTCATATCTTACAAAACGTCAGTTCTCCCAAACCATTGGAATTTAATCTTCAATGGCAAGCTATGGCTCGAGCTGCTTCGTTGTGTCTCCGTGTGGATCCCGATGCCAGACCCCCAATGTCAAAGGTATGATTTCCATGGGTTCAACTTGTTACTTAGAAACTCTTTTTACTTTTTTTATTAAAAAGGCCCTTCTTTTTAACTTGAATGTAGATCCTGAGAGTGCTGGAAGGGGGTGATCCAGTTCGTCCTATGGGTTTAGACATAAACTCAATTGGTAACACAAGTGGGCATTTAAGCGGTTTGAAGTCGCTCACTCCACCAGAAGCTACAATAACTCATTCTCGTACACTATCACATTGATCATTCCCTCCGCTCTTGGACCTTTCGTACGCTTATTCAAACTTTCAGATATGCAAAGCACTTGTAGGTAACAACTAGGAAAGAAATCATTATCTTAGCCTTCTCATTCATAAATAGATTTCTAATTTGGCTGCTGTTTCTGGAGCCCTGTACTTCTGACTGGCCATATGCTTAATAGCAAAAATTTCATTTCTCATTATTCTATTTTCTCTTGCATCGGCCAATCCCCAAATTGTTTGTACAACCTCAGGCTCTCTATAATAACTGTCAATTTCAATATGCAGGACTAGCAGTGTGCATGTGTGTTGTTCACCATATTTCTTCCCATCTCTTCTGCAGAAGAAAATATATTAATTTTGAACACAAATATTACATTCCTTTAAAATTAGTTTTATTCTATAACTTTCCCATTACATCATCTATTTTCTTGAACTACCTTGATGGATTACTGTTCTACCAAAAATTGAAAAAATGTCTAAGCTAAAATAGGAGTAGATGAGTATAAAAAAGGATGTTTTTTTAATTATGTATTCTCTCAACGTAGTTTAATAGTTAATAAATGATATATTTATTATTTTAAACTTATTTTTATATATTTGTGTTTGATTCCATGTTGTTTGGTATCTTTTTCCTCGTTAAAATAGGAGTAGTATTTTTTATTTTCAACAACACCATAGTGACAAAATTACACAAAATATATTTTAAAGGGTTTATTGATCTTTAGAAAATAGTTAGTCATTTAGCAACGATGATTTTCCAAAGTACAAGTTAAAGTAAAGTGTACACTCACATGAAAAACAAGTGGACTGAATCAAAAGACCAGGAGTTTCATTATTTTACAAGCTGGAGAGGGACAAGTTGTGTACTTTTTCAAGGAAAATTCTAATATGTTTTATCATAATCATAAGTCAATTTTTTAACCCATCATGCTTAGAACTAATCTATCTAAGTTAAACTTTTAATAGTTTAAAGAAGTCATTTCTGACACATCTTATGACTTTAATAACTATTTTTTTATATAACTTCTAAATAATTACAAAGATAATTTCTTTTCTTAAAAGTCATATACATCAAATACATGTGTGAACTCTACTAAAAAAAAATTGTTAAGTGAATGAAAACACACACACTAACACAAAATCAACTCATACTGGGTGTCATAATCAAGAGTATTCTAGAGACTTTAAACATTTTGGCGTCCAATGAGAGAGATAAAACTGTTTACAAATTTTAAAATTAGAAAAATAAGGAATTATACAAACACCATCTTATTAGAGAGAGATAGTAAGACCTACTCCACAAAAAATAGTAAGTACTATGAATGACCTTTGATGACAGAATGAGGAAGCGAGCAAAGGTGGACAAGACCTAATACACATAATAAGAACTTCATAAGGAGTCACAGGAATCTCGCATTTGCATAGAAAAATAAGAAACTTTATCTAGCACTCAAGGTGTATGTTTCATATTAGAAGATGTCATATCTCAAACTTGTCCCAACCTAATCAATTTTTTAGTTTTTTATGAAAGAAACATAAATGAACCAAACCCTCTCAATTATATGGTTTGAAAGCTCAATTTATAACAAGACATCTCAAACTGCTTCAAATCTAGATATGATATTCAAAGGGTTGGACACAATACAATGTAAGATGTTTGTAGGCACGTTATGTTTTGATCTATTACTCAATTGAAAAAAAAGGTTACGCAAAGTTTAAGTTTAATCCTGATCTATCATATATACAATCTTACTCGTTTGAAGATTATGAGATTGTGCAATAATAAGTTTGATCTCGACTATTCCGATATAATCTTACTTGCTTAAAGACTAATTAAATATATTATTATTTAAATATTATGAATTATATGTATATATATATATATATATATATATATATATATATATATATATAAAGATGTTATTACAATAATACTTAACTAAATACAAAATACATAAAAATTAATTTTAATATAAGAATTTTAATTCCAAAAAAATATTTGACTATAAATAAGATTGATAAGATCATGATAAAAATGACAACATACTAAATACTCTTATATCTCTTTATTAGAAAATGATGATTTATGTTAAGTTGAAATTAGTTAATATCATCATATTTTAAAAAAGCAAATTCTAAAACTTCTTCACTGACCTGCATTTCGTGGGAAAAAAAAGAAAAACTTGTATGCTTTTCACCATTTTCATTTTTGTTGGAGAGTGTGAACACGATAGCTGAATATTATGCAAATCAGCGCTTCAAAGTTACATTTTTTGAGATGGATATTGACTTTTTGGATCAAATGGGGAAGAAGGCCTTTGGTAAAAGCCCACGACCAATATTAGATCACAATGTGAGAAAATTCATGTTTTATGAAGAAATTAATTAGGAAGAATTTCTGATTATATTACATGACCCTGTTTTCTACCCTTAAAAATATTTTTCATGATATCTCCATATCTTAATACATACACCCACGTTACCAATGCACCATTAATTAATCATCTAACTACTCCTTAGAGAAGCATGTCTACACGCCTCCTCTCTTTCAACCTTTGGAATATCTACTCAAATCATATGCTATGCATACTTATAAGCCTAAAAAATACACACATGTTACAATATTATCTTTATTTCATTCCCATCTCTGTTTAATCTAATATATAGTTCTTTCTTTTCGAATGAATAATCTCTCTGTATATAGATTAATTGTGTTTATTAGCATATATACTCTTTCAATATTATGATTTTTATGTTTTTTAATTAGAGTGAATTAAGTGTTTTAGTGATATTAGTAGGATCAACCTCTTATATATATGAGACATCTTTAACTAGAAATGGGATTCAAACTCTATAAGGTGATGACGTTATACTTAAAATTATAGCTGTTAAAAATTAATAATAAATGTCACAAGATAAAATAATAAGTTTTGATTTGAATAAATAATAGTAAGAAAATATATTAATTGATTTTTGTTATAGCAATAAGAAATACATTGAAAGGGAGGTAATCTTAGTGAGTGATAATCGTTGGGCTTATTGAGAAAATCTGATTTCCAATTAAAGAAAACCATAGCAGTAAAGAAGTTTGTTTGAACTACCTCAACCATTCATTCTTACACAGATTACATTACATTAATACATGTTAATTAATAATACAGATCTTCGACCAAGCCACACTCCCAATCTCGTAGAATCAATCAATCAAAGTCAACGAGCAAAAAATACGAGACCAAGAGCAAGAAAAAAAAAAGGCACAATCATCCAATCAAAACACGTGGCCATAAAAAAACCGAAGCCCAGACGGGCCTGGCCCATCAGTTTCTCCCACTGGCCCAGCCCGAAGAGAGGCTACTGTCGGAGATGGACGGCAGCGACTCCGCATCAGATATCATGCGCTGATGCTGCGCCTGATAATTGTTCATCGATTCCGACACGCTCCAAACCTTAACCGATTTGTCCAAACTGCCACTGTACAAAACCCAGCGCCGGTCTCTGCTGCCGGCGGCTTCGCGGTCCTCATCCACGGCCAGGCACTTCACGGGACCGTCGTGACCAGTGAGAACAGACACGCACGTGTGAATCACACCTTCTCTTCTCCACACGCATATGGTCTTATCTGCGGACCCGCTGAACACTAACGTCCCCGCGGCGGTGAGGCACAGCACGGCGAGCTTGTGGCCCTTCAGGACGCCGCCGTGCGTGTAACCCTTCTCGCCCTCCCAGAAGTTCACCAGCCCATCGGAGGCGCCGCAGTAAACCATCGAAGCATCCGTGTCCACCGCCAGCGCCGTCACCGCGCACTCCTGCTTCAGCAGCGTTTTCACCGCAGTGTGCTTCAACCCCTTCCCCCGCGGCTCCCGCCGCCACACCTTCACCGTGCCGTCCGCCGACCCGGAAAACATCATCCCGTCTTCGCCGCACACCACCGCGTTGACGGCGTCGTCGTGCGCGTGGATGGACTCGAGGCATTTGGAGTCGGCGATCCTCCACACCTTGATCGTTCTGTCCCACGACGCAGAGTATAGATACAACTTGTTATCGGAGAGACTCAAACACGAAACGGCGTCCGAATGTTTTATCCACAACGCCGTTTTGTGTCGCCGAACCTGAAAACCCAAAACAATTCACTGCATGAAAAACCTCAGCACATCATCATCTGTTTGTTTTATGTGCATGCTTTTTACTAGAAAGAAACTATTAGTATAACTCGATTCGAGCATCTCCATTAAAAATTCAAACTTTTTTGTTTTGATTAAAAACTAAAAGAATTCATTAAAAAAATATTAACGTATATGTATTTTGATTTTCGTGTAATTTTATCGTCATTTTGTTCTGATATACATCAGAAAGCAAAAGTGTGACGAAATCTTGCATGAGCAACAAGGTGAAAAGAATGCAAGACAAAAGTGGAAGCGAAAAGAACCTCGACGTAGTTGCTGGGTTTAATGGAGCTCTTGAAGATGTCTTTAAGCGTGGGCAACGTGCCGGCGCGTTTGTGCACGCTCGGGTTCTTCGGCGACACCTTCCAGACGCGGATTTTGCCGTCCTGGTGCCCCGTGAAGATTTTCTGTCCCGACAGAATTATGGTTTTGACCAATCCGCTGTTGGATTTGAACCCAGAATACTCCTGCAGGTTCTTCCACACGCGAATGTTCTTGCTGTCGGACCCCGTGTACAAGAGGTCGCCGGTAGCCGCCAGCGAGTATATGTGTCCCTCCTCTCGGACAAGAGAACCTACGAGAGCGTTCTGAGGCAAGCTCCCGCCGTCATCATCCGGAAACCACTGCACCTTCTGAAACGGCGAACTGGCGGTCTGGTTCCACGGCGACATCATCATGGGAGAACCCTCGCCGCTGAGCCTACCCTGGTCGTAGAAATAAGGACTCATCGGCGACGCTGAACTGCTAGTCCGCATTGTGTACTCGTCGTCGGTTAAAGCCTCCGTGTTGGACATTCTGGGCTCCGATTGCATGTACTGTGATCGGGGAAAGCTTTCACCAAACATAACCCTATATGAATTAATTATCTAATTAATTAATTAATTAATTTATAAATGACAATCCTCTCTCCTTCTTTAACGTGTGTATTGTAATTTCATTCACCGTGGAGCAGATAAAAGAAATTGAACTGCTACAGGAAAATGGAGAGAGGAAAGAGGAAACTAAATTTTGGACGAAGACTTTGATTGATTCTTGGTTGGGAAGAGAAAGTGAGAGAGCGAAGGAGAGGTTAAAGAGTGTGAAGAATGCTTTGGTGGTGCCACCCAGACAAGAGAGAGAATGTTCAAAACTTCATATATGGAATTTTAATCGCTGGTTCAAATCGTTTCGTCAATCGTTTCTCGACACATGTCACGTCTTATTTTAAGCTTCCTTCCTATATTTACACTCTTTTTTTTTTCTCTTCATGGCTGCCATCTTTGGAACATCTTCTTCCTCGTTCTCAGCTTTTCATTCACTATTTTAGCTCCCCAAAGCTCTTGTAATAAGGGAAACTTAACTCCATCTAATATCATTTCCTTTCTCTTATCTTACGAAATATATCAACTTCTATATCCATGTTTGATTGAAAGAACCATGTTTTCTCAACTGATGCATGTGATGTCGTCTTATGATGTTAGCTAATGATGTTTGGTGTCAGAAATTTGACTTCGATCGTTATATATATATATATATATTTTAACAATATATATACCATTTCGATATTGCTTCTTGTTGAAATTAATTACATTAAAAATCCAGTTTTTGTTTGGATAAATTTGACAAAAGTTAATTTGAGATTATTAACTGTGAGAGTGCAGAGTTTTGGAAAGTTTTATATAACTAGATATAAAGTTAATTTATAATATATAAATGAATATAAATTTTATTTTACAAATCAATTTTATAGAGTTACGTTATTCTTAGAGTTCACTTCTTAACAGAATAGCCTTAATAATATTTATTGTTTATTGAGCTTTTTTTCCACTATATGATTAGGTCGATTAACAAAATTTTTTAATCATAAAATAGTATTGGTGAAAAAGATGTTTTTCCAAAACATAATATTTCTTTTACCAATTTTCTCGTAACAAGATGTGTGGATACTACTTAATTATTCTTGTTTGTTCTTTTGGAATAAAAACTTGGTTTCTTTTGTTTTTACTTTAATTTGATTATTTTTTAGACTAAATTGTTTCAATTAGAATAGTGTAATCTGACCATATTTATTTTTGTGATATTAGCTCTTAGTAATAACAAATAAATTTGTTTGATTACAAGGGTTATACATCAGAACAATACCTATAATTACACCATCACGACTCACGTTATTCTTTATCGTAATATTTAAATTAAAGCATATCCGTAATTATCTATACAACAAATTATATAGGTATCAATCATGTTAACAAATGAGGAGTAATAGGTTGCACTTTAGGTATGAAGTCTTGTCAATTAACGTCTTGTCTATTAAACTTTGAACTTTAAATCATGACTACCTTTTATAGACTATTACATGATATTATACAAAATATTAATGATATTTTAACAATATTTTTTGACAATATTTTAACATCATTTACGTATCATTTTATAATTAGTTGATGTTAGTGTTTATGATTATTATTATTGATTATAAAGTAATTTTGGACAAATTACATAATAACATGTGTAAATGATGTTAAAATATTATAAAAAAAATATTGTTAAAATATCATTATCCGGTCTAATGTTGATTCCATAATATTGTTACTCATAAAAAACAAATTGTGATAATCCAAGAAAAATATTTTAAAACGGAAAAAGAAGTCAAAGAGATTTGTGAATTCATTAGCTTAAAATCACTACAACTTTGATCCAATCCTGAATATAAACTAATAATATGAATGCCTCACACGGAACAAGTTCCATTTGTACAAATACATGAATCACACAAATAAAATGTTTAAAAACATAATTTTCATATTTTACTTGGTGATTGAGCTCAATAACTTATTTCAAATCCATGTACTAAGAACATTTTATTGTCACCAAAGAAAGGAATTGGATAGATCTCTTGATAGATAAGTCAATACAAGTTAAAAAAAAAAGTGAGTAATATAGTATAAAATATTCTGCAAGAATATGTTAGGAACTAACATGCAAATAGAATTTATGAGAAAGAAGTAAAAGTCAAGAAGATCAAGATTAAACATAAGTTAAACAAAGTTGATGTACCTTACGGGGTATCGTAAGATTTCCTTCCGAATCGACCGTTCGAGCCAATCATCAGGCCAATCATTCTGGCCGACTACATGGTCCAGACCGAACGACTATTCTTAAGATTAAACGGTTCTTCTTAGGCCAATACCAGGCCAACTATCCAGGCCGACCAGGCCGACCACCCATACTGACCGACCATCCTGGCACAACTGACCGCATGATTAGATTATAAATAGTAAAAGCTCATTAAAGCCCCTAATGAAGATTAAGATGTGATTGGACCATCATTAGGCCAGCGAAAGGTAAAAACCCATTACAACCAGTATAAATAAAGGTCTCAGGTATGACTTCAGACGAGGATGCAATATATACATGCATTACTTACCGCTAGGTTACATTACTAACTTGAGCATCAGAGTGCCTTTGACAGGTATTCGCCCGCCCGGCTTGGAGGAGGACGACGACCACCTGGAATGCATGGAGAAAAGCCCGCTCGGTCTTCAACCTAGAGAATGGAGTAGCGTCCGTCCGCCCTAAACCTTACCCGTCCGGTCAGAAGGTTCGCCACCCCGATCTCTAACTTGAAGCGCTTTGAACAAGGGTGCGTCCGCCCGATCCGTAACGTCCACAGCATTCGTCCGCCCCATCTTTAGCGTCTACCAAGTCTTCGATACTACCAGGAATGTTTTAAGGGACCTCCACAGCCCAACCGAAACATTTTGGCGCCCACCGTGGGGCCGAGCTGGTATTCCCCACTGTATCCACAAGGAACCAGTGAGTGGTGCCTCAGAAGAACGTCAACTCAAACTTTCGGCCTCTTACACTCGGCCTCGTATACCCGTCAACTCGGTCTTGTCTACTCGGCTACTTGGCCTCGTTTGCAAGGTCATTCGGTCTCCACTTTTCGGCCTCTCGGCCTCCCTTGCTCGGTCATTCGACTTTTCAACCACTTAGCCAAGTTTGGCCTCGAACACTCGACCGTTCGGCCTCTAAGGTAATTCTTCGAGCCTAGCCTCGTAGGTACCTAGCCAAATTTGACATCAACTGTTCGGCCATTCAATGGCCTCAACCTCTCGGCCTCCCGTGGCCTCCTCAGTTCAGCCTTACGATGGCCTCAGGTACTCTTCAAACCTGACAACACAGGTATTCAGTCAACCGTTCGGCTAATCGGCCTAGTTCGTTCGGCCATCAGGCCTCTCAGCTTTTATGATTGGCCATTCATCCGTTCGGCCATACCTTGATCTCAGGTAATTCCTTGAACCTAGCCTCGCAGGTACTTAGTAAAATCTGGCATCAAGTGTTCGGCCTCAGCTTCTCGGCCTTCCGTGACCCCTACTGTTCTGCCAAATCTGGTCTTAGGGACTCGGCCTCCAAAGGCTTCAGTCGTTCCGCCGTAGTAATCAGGTACTTTCTTAAACTAGGCCTCCAAGTACATGGTGAAAATTGACATCAATATCAGATCATTTGCTCGTACGTTCTAAAGTACAATCGTCATCCGGCCTCAACGTTCAACTGTTCGGTCATATCTCCACCCTCAACCGGTCAGCCATACTAATCTCGGCCGAAACGTATCAAAACCCAAGTTGATGAACGAAGTTTCACTCCTGTCAACTTGGCCGGGTGGTGAACAACGAGTTTTTCCCAGAGAACCACTGTCGCCCAGTTACTACGGAAACCCAAGTTGATGAACGGAGTTTCACCCTGTCAACTTGTCCGGGTGGCGAACGACGAGTTCTTCCCAGAGAACCATTACTGCCTGGTTAGTACGGAAACCCAAGTTGATGAACGAAATTTCACTCCTGTCGACTTGGCCGCGCGGTGAACTGGACACCCTGCCGCACTAGTCGTTCCGAGGTCTACCCTGCCGTTCGAGTCGTTTGAAAAGGTCAGCTTCTCGGCCTTTACAACCCTCGACTGTTCGGCCACTGCTTGGCCTCAAACCGTTCCGCCATTTCTTGGCCTCAAACCGTTCCGCCCTTTCTTGGCCTCTACGTGGCCTTCTCGGCCACAACTTCTCAGCTTTCAAAGGCCTCAAATCGGCCTCCGCGCCCTCAACCGTTCGGCCTCAACTTGGCCTTCTCGGCCTCAACTCCTCGGCCTCTACGGCCTCAACCGTTCAGCCTTGAAATGGCCTCAAGCTTTCGGCCTCCAAAGGCCTCAACAACTCGACCACAATGGCCTCAACCGTTCGGCCTTCATAGGCCTCGACCGTTCGGCCACTGCTTGGCCTCAACTTGGCCTTCTCGGCCTCAACTCCTCGGCCTTTGCGGTCTCAACCGTTCAGCCTTGAAATGGTTTCAAGTTTTCGGCTTCCAAAGGCCTCAACAACTTGGCCTCCTCGGCCTCACTTGATCGGCCTCCTCGACCTCAACTTCTCGGCCACCACGGCCTCGACCTCTCGGTCATAGTCTGGTCTCAACTTCTCGACCTCGAGTGGCCTCGATCGTTCGGCCATCCATTGGTCTCAACTTCACGGCCTCTATCGTTCAGCCTCAACTTGGCCCCTAATGGCACCAAATTCTCGGCCTCCCAAAGGCCTAATGTTCTCGGCCTCAAATGGCCTTAACAAAGCACGACTCTTTATCTTTCATCCGCTCACCAACAAGTAAAGATGACTTAGAAACGAAGGCCAACCAGGGCAATCGTCCTTTCCAGAAAGGCCATATACTAAAACCCTTCGCATCATTAACATCATGCTCGGGCTTGGGGGGCTGATGTACCGTACAGTACCCAGGGTACCGTAAGGTCTCCTTCCGAGCCGACCGTCCGAGCCAACCATCAGGCCAATCATCCTGGCCGACCACATGGTCCAGACCGAATGGTTATTCCTAAGACCGAACGGTTCTTCTTAGGCCAACACCAGGCCAACTACCCCGGCCGACCAGGCCGACCACCCATACTGACCGACCATCCCGGCCGAACAGACCGCGTGATTAGATTATAAACAGTAAAAGCTCATTAAAGCCCCTAATGGAAATTAAGGTGTGATTGAGCCGTCATTAGGCCGACGAAAGGTAAAAGTCCATTACAACCAATATAAATAAAGGTCTCAAGTATGACTTCAGACGAGGATGCAATATATACATGCATTACTTACCGCTAGGTTAAGGCTATTATTTTGGATCGT